CCTGTCTGGTGGGAGATATTCGGTGGAGCAGAAGCAATGCCCTGAGGCTTGTTTGGGGTTTTATAAAACATCCTTCTATACAACATTGTTACCTTCACCAAGAAGGTTATGTTTTCAGTAGCGTTTGTTTGTCTGTCTGTCTGTTTGTGAACAGCATAACTCAAGAAGCTTAATATGGATTGTCATGAAACTTGGTATGTGGGTAGGTCTTGATGAGACCTAGAAATGATTAGAAATTGGGCCTCCTGGCGGTTTTTGTTGGTACTGCAGCAGAACTTCCGGTTTTGTTATCTCGCGATCTAGACATGCTAGGGACACGAATTTTGGCTGGTAGATAGCTCTTGGGGTAGGGAAGATGTGACCTGAGTTTAGACCCCCTAGCAGCTGGAACTGCAGGAGCGTTTCTTGAAAAAATCTCCGAAGGTTGATAACTCAAGAACCGGTTGACGGATTGTCATGATTTTTGGTATGTAGGTAGCTGAAGTGATGCTTGACATAATCAGATGACAATTAGGCAAATCAGGAGCTAATTTGCATAATTGATGAGGAAATTCTATAAATCTGCTTCGTTTGATAATAGGACTATGAAACACTTGTGACATGTAATTGAGAACTAGAAAACATCTAAGGATATAGCTTATGTAAATGAAGACCTAATTTGAATAATTAATGGGAAATTGTTATAATTTTATAGTTGTAATTGCTGGCACGATGGTTAGATTTGGGCCCAAAAGTCCCACTCCGCTACTATGGAGATCGAATCCCCCGAACCCGCGAATCTTGTTCGATATGACGTCATTCGAATAGAACAGGCGTTCGATCTGGGGTTACCCGCGGTCATTTACAGTAAAGCCGCTACAACCGGCTACTTCAAGCCCTTTTTTACTTGGGAACCACGGAACAGGAAAAATCCACCTTTCCACAAATATGAACCGTTTTCAAAACATTACATCTATGCCGTGATTTTATTGTGGATATGTAACATGTAACGAAGCTACTGCCGTCATCGTGGGTGACCTTGAAGGTCAGAATTCTTGTTCACGCTGTTATAAAATCCAGGTCCCCATATCCAAGTGTCACAGCACGCGTACAAACATGGTATTTTAACCACTCAAAAAAATCGCTCAAATTACCTCATTGAGGGCTTGTTTGAAAGAGGAACGATTTCCGCAGATTTCTGTCTTAGGGATTTTTTAAATATGGCCGCGATTATGAATTATCTGTATTTAAAGTTAAAACACTGCGTTTTTAGCTCTTCTTTTGACTGTAAGTCGAGTTTTAGTTAAAAAATAAAAAAATCCTAAGACAGAAAGTTTAAATTTACTGTAATATATCTAAAAATCCTAAAATCTAACCTTATTTTTAATTTTCGGGGCCTCTTAAAATCAGTTGTTTGGTTCTCGTGAACCCTTTTTGATATCCGAAATTGATCTCATTTGGAAGCAAATGTACACAAAGTGGAGCAAAGGCAGTGCAAGAATAACATTTGAGGTAAACAAAATCACTTATTACATTTTATTTTGACGAGTATTTACTCTCCAATTACTTTTGTTTATTTTCAATTTTTACCGTGCCCCGGGCGGCCCGGGACTCCCGCGCGGCCACGTTCGAACACGTTCTGTAACCCGATACCTCCCTAGTAATGCGACTTTTAGCCTAGCAACCGACCGCCGTGAGGGTACGTTATTAAGAATAAAGTGACCACAACGTTATAAGATGGATCAGGGTACGTTAAGAATTAAGTGACCACAACGTTATAAGGTACGTTATAAAAACAATTGAGTTTTGAGGTGAGCAGTCAAAGTGTGCTTCTTTGTGGCCTCTGTCTGTCCTAGCGGTATGCCCAGGAGGAGGAATTTTATCACCAGCCGCGTCCCTTACATGTGCACGATGAAATGAAATAGATAGCAAAAACGCACTAACGTTGCCGTTCCAACGTACTTCATACATATTTAGTTTCATTTTGTTCCATTTTGTTCCATTTTGTCCATTTCGTTCCATTTCGCACTTTCTGTGCACCACAATAGATTGCGTATACAGAGAAAACTTATTCTAGTAACGTTATCTATTCAAATACATTGGGGTTGAATTTCATCACATAGAAACACTGTATGGAACTGAAAGGAGTTTTTTTCATTTACATCTCTAAGTGATATAACATTTACCCGCATTTGTGACTTGACCTATAATAACTATGTTTATGTTATAGATCCATGATTTTAGTATGAACGCACAATTTTATTCATGTTGGACATATGACATGATGTCAATTTCTTTTCATTGACAAGTTCTTCACTTTGGCATTTTCAAAACAGTCCTGAAGCCGAGTTGGAACTTTATTATAATTTATAAATGGCTATTATATGATAGTGAGCAATCATAAATAAGGAGAATAAGATTGTTGTTTACCCTGGTGCTTCTGTGATCCATGGTACAATCCTCTGAACATTCCATCTGAGAAAAAATCTCTTGTCAACAGCAGAATGGAATATCATATTTCAATATAATTTCAGTCAGAATAGACAAATTCAGTGAAAATACCAACGCTGCTGCAGAAAATTCACATAATTTCACAATATAACACAAGGATCTTTTAGTATGACTGCATATCGAGGCTATGTATGCGTGGCCCTACAGCATATTGAACAGCGGTATAAAGTATCTGATTTCTCTGTTACACAAACATAACGTACTAGTATATAGTGGGGAGGGGGGCTGGAATTATTTAACACCTACCTGTCAAATTGACCCCTATATCTTTAAAGAAGAAAAAGAGAAATAGTTTAGTTCAATTGAGATGTAGCTGTGATATTCTTTTTCTAGTTAAAAATGTTCATACCGAAAATTCAGGTAAATTTTAAGAGAAAACGGGGTAACGTTACCGATAAATCTCAACGTGGATTTTCTGACGGAGGCAGCCATGTTGGACCACGGGTGCATTATGGGAGTAAGTATCGATCAGATGCCAACTTTGCAGTTGAACGTTCATCAAGGAACTTTAAAAAGATTTCAGGCCTCTTGCGTTCATTTATAGCCTTGAAATCCTTGCTCCGCCCAAGTGAGTGCTAAAAGGTTGAAATCATATTCCAATTACAGTCAACTACTAGTATGTCCGAGTCAGTCCGCAACACGAGTTAACTTGAAAAGTTTCGGTCATGTGTCACCGATTGACGTGGCTAACGTTAATATCTGTATCACACAATTCATGATACGAGTGAAAAAAAACATTAAAAAAAGGATCTGTCCTACACATGCCTTCCGTATTTTTTTTTTATAAATCGACCTAAAAGAAACAAGTTAAGGCGAATGCATCATTTGTTGACCAGTATTCCGGGGACATTCGGCATGCCCATTTATATGCAAAAGTATCACGACGTTCGTCACGTAAATATTTTGGGAGGAAACGTTAATTGCTAGCCCATTTTTCATTAAAGTATCAATGAATTGTATATACGAGTCAATAAAAAAGGGACCAAAAGCCACGAAAATAAAATAAATTACATCTTTTATAGACGACTTTTATACCGGGTTCTAGCAAGCTCCTTGGTTCTAGACTTACCCAACTTAACTGACCAAACTTAGTTTAAGTATTTAAAGTATCTTTTTTAAACTACAGTAGGTCTAAAGCCTATAAAAGTTGTCTGCGCCACCCGCCACGAGAGTCTGAAAAACAAAAGTCAGGAATATTTCGTGCGGCTTTTAGTTGGCTGAATTTTGCTTGGATGGGATCAGAGCGACTAGACGAGCGAGCCTGCGGGGATATGGATTTTAGTCTACTCCTATTAAACGTTAACCTAGCCCCGAATTGGTCGTGGGAAGGTCCTGAATGTATAACAAGGGCTACTTGTTATATGTTGATGATTTGTTTATCAAGGGACATCTCAGAATCAACAAGATTGAAACCATTTATACAGTCCGGCTTTATTATGCATGTTTCTTGATACAGACATACATGTATCGGCAAGAGATAAGCCATGCATAGTGATATTCCCAACACAAAATCAAAACTTCTCCTGAAGGCAGCGTGTGAACTGTGAAATGAGTAACACACAGGTAAAAGTGATTCTACGCCACATTTCAGAAAGTGCAATACACGTTTGGCTTAGTCTTCAAGTACAAATCTTGAAATCAATGTACCCTCTATGTACTAACGTTGAGCGGCCTATAATTGTAGATCGATATCTAAAACAGACTTCATATACATGACAATTCATATGTACACCTATAAAACTCAACTTTGTAATAATCATATAGTACACTACACCCCGAGCTCATTAATCCAATTACATATTGTGATTTTGGTAATGATAATCAATATATACTCGATATACATTTTTTTATTATCCTCTCAGTTGTGCACATATTATTGTTTTTTTTTCTTGATAAAAACTTTAACATGCAGTGTTTTCGTTTTCAGCCACTGTATAATATATACGTACTTGCTTCCTAATAACTCAATTTAGCGCATCTCTTAACGTTTGTTTTGGTACATGATTTCATTCATATCATAACAACGTTAAAGTAACATGACACTTCTGAGAAATCTATGCGCTGTAGCCCGTATTGAGTAAGAATATCTGTTGATTGTAATCTCCCAAGCATATTTCCCAGTACTAGTGGCAAAAGTGGCAATGAAACCACTATTGGCCGGCAGATACGATTTTATACAACGGGGTGGTTTGCTTTGAGAGTGGTTGATTGTCCGTTAGTACGACATATGATACAAGGTCCACAAAGTGTAAATATTACATATTTTGTTGTGAAGACCATAGTTTTAAATGGTAGCTTTTAAAAAGGAGGTTCATCCTGATGCCAAAAGGAAATTAAACATCGAAGTGACGTACCAAATGTTGTTTGCAATAGTTGATAGGAAACATCAACTATTGAGTCAAGTGTCATTCATCATAAAATATGTCAAACCCTAACACAGATATCATTGCAAACTTAGGCAACTAGCTAGTGTAAACATAAAGCATATAGCTATAGACAAGTGTCTGTATGACTATGTACATCTTTACATAATATTATACTCATGATAAAACACTTGTCAAACAAAACATTTTTGTAACAAATTAGCCCGTTTAAAAGATATGAATAAAACTTAAAATATTCTCACAAAATGTCTTATAGATGGTATACTTTACAAAGTAAGTCTTTTTTCATCAAAGCTACGGCTTACCGTTCTAACCCTCGTTTTAACTTTTAATTAGAGAGTCACTTCAGATTGGTTTCCAGGATGAATTATCCCTAATAATCCTACCTACTGGATCTCAGGTAGTGCGTCGATTTTTGATCGTCAACCTTCCCCAGAGGTCTTTAAAATACCCCAAAACTTTTGGCAAGAAAGTTAGTTTGAACTTTTCTTCCACTCAGTTATTAATCTCGCCTTTGTCATAAATATATTTTTTCTACCTCTACAACGCAAGTCCTTCTTTTGTTGGTCAAAGATTAGGGCTTGCTAACATCAGTTTATGATTAACCAAGCCAGGTATGTTTTGTAAACGTCTACAAACATTCCGATGTTGGAACGTGTAAACAATGACGTCAGGGCATGCTTGCTAGTATTTGGTTACTATCTATTCTTTAAAATGGTACAAAATTAGCAGCTATGTTAGATTTCCATTCACTAGATATTAGTAAATCATTGCTTCTCTTCTTACTGACACAGCCGATCTTTTTTCCATTTTCTTACCTGTCCTTTTTACGTTCTTGCAGTAAGTTCTACAGTTCCGGGCGGTTACATTCGTCCTAGATCATTGTGCAATTTTCATGCCATAGAGTTTTCATGCAAGCTGTGATAGAACCGACCGCCGAAAAGGATCCAAGACATGTTTTTTTCCGTAACAAAACAGCTGAATTTTAGAGGACACATGCACGACTGTCCCAAGAATGCCCTCGGTTTTGCGCCCATGCGACGTATATTCCTTTTGACGTCTGACGTTAATTGCTGACCATCCTTACTCGTCTAACACAGGTTCGTTTAATTCAAACACATGTTCAGCGTCACCCGTGGTCAACATTGGTTTTGGATGAAGATGAGTGATCACCGGTGCTTCTAGCACAGGTTTGAAATCAAAGAATGCCGTTTCTGGTATTTCCTTCTCCGGGGTGTTGAACAACCAGATGGCGGGCGGTTCTTCACGGAACACCGGGTTGTTGTGCCGCATGCTTGGAGGTATCGCCGGTTTGTGTATCTCAGGAAGGGAATTTGAGAAAATAACACGTTCTGGCTGACGGAGGCGTGGCTTGTTGTGCACAAAGTTGTGTTGAACCTCAAGCAGACTAGGTGTGGATTTCAGCAGCGTAAGCGAGATGTTCTTGAGAGAGGGTGTTGATTTGGAATAAGACGACTGGGTCTGGAATAGTGCTGGCAGCGAGTGTGTACTCTGAAGCTGAGATTCTTCCAAAATTGGTGTGGTGAAGTTGTATGTCGCACCAATGCTCTTCAGAGAAGGCGTCCTATAGTTGAGCGACGAAGAAGACAGCCTAAGTTGCGGCTCGGTCTTCTTGAAGGTGGTTGGCGTTTCTTTCTTGATGGGCACGCTCTTTGCAAAAGTCGTCCGGATTTCCTTAGGGACGGGTATATTGCGCGTGTAGGTCGACTCCACTCTTAGACTTTCTGGGATGTTTTTTTGATACGTCTTGATTGATTCTTCGATGACGGGGATTTGGTGCACGAAAGACGTCGGTATTGTCTTCCGTTCTGGCTTGGAAAAGGTGTAGGTGGAAGGTACATACTTGAGGTCAAGACCGGGGTTCATCAGGCGATATTCTCCTTCAAGTATGGTGGGATCGTTTTTCTTGTAACTCGAAGAGGTCTGCTTGAGCGTAGGGTTGTTTATGGTGAGTGTCTTGCTCGTCTCCTTGAGAAGTGGGAAGCCGTGCTTGTGCAAGTAGCCGTACTCGTCAGCCACTGCCGTCTCGTAGTAAGCCAGCTTTCCGTCGTCATCTTCCAGTACAACGGTCCCCTCCCCCTCGACACTAACTCCGCGGTGTTGAATTTTTGCCACGCCTGGCGATATTGTGCTGTCCCCGCCATCTTGTGCAGCCATCGTCAGATTCTCGTCGTTCGTAGACCCCTTTGCACCGCCAGCCTGCCCGATTTGAAATTCACCCGCTTTTGGAAACACCAACGGCTTCTCGTCTACCGGGAGAAGAGGAGTCGCTTCTTTCTCGATCTGTTCATCGTCATTGTCCAAGAGACGCTTGGCCCGGGACTCTTCCACCTGTGGATTATTGAGGTACTCGCCCTCTGAGGCGGTTTCACCTCTGACCTGCTCTGCCCCAGGTTTGTAAACATTCCCGGATGAGAGGGCCGTGTGTTTGTTTGGGCCATACTTGTCGGTTGTTAGTAAAGTGTCCTCACTTGGGGGACTAGCCTCGCTCTCCGGGAAAATACGTTTCTGCTGCAAGTCGGTGAGGGCGGGGTCACCTTCCATAGCTGACACTGCTGGAAGGTCTTTGGGGCCACCGGTCACATCCACTGATTCGTTTACCTTTTTGGAGCTGTCCACAACTTTAGATTGGTTCTCTGTGGGCTCGAAATCTTCACCAGGGTCGCCCTTTGCCAACTTATTACCGTGGAGTGGTGACTTCTGCCGCTTAAAGGACACACTCGGCCCGGTACTGCCGTTTGTTTCGGCAGTGACACTGTCTTCGTCGTCTGCGTCTTCCGGAAAGGATGTGTTGAGGTAAACTTCGCGAAGTACTGACATCTCTTCTTCGATTCTTCCTTCTCTGCTCATCCCACGTGCCTCTCCTGCCCGTCTGCTCGGGAGGAGACGAGATCTTTCGTCTCCGTTGTCTTCAGCAGCCGACTCCGCCGCGCTACTTTCCGTGTCAGAGAGCGTCGCCAGGAGGCGCTGTTGTTCTGACCGTTGGCTGTTGTCGTCTGTAGCCATTTTCCGTACTCACGAATGTTTATCCAGAACAAACCCCATATGTTACATGTGCAGCTTCCTGTAAAGTAAAAACGTAAAGTCAATCAGATTAGTCATTCCGTTTACCCCATTGTTGATAAAAACTGCGTACTAGGGACAGCTTATATGACAGACTAAAGTTTTATGCCTAAATCACGTCTTAGAAATATCAACATCAAGATTATAGCTTTTGTAAACTATTTTCATTCTCCTTTTTTTTATTTTCATATGACAGTGTGTACTTATACACATGTAACAGCAATATCGCACCGCCCTAGGGAGTTCTCCGAGCGTGCCGCAGTCGACTCACGGCACAAAGGAACACTGCTCTACACACGGAGTCACGAGATGTGTTCCCGTCCATTTTCACATTTCCATTTTCCACTTACTGGGTTAGAGTAACCTCATCAAGGCACATTAGGAGAAATCACACGGCTGAGACCGCTCATTGTCCTCCCTAAAATTGAGCAGAAATCCGTATATGATAGAATTACTCATAGGGTAGGAACACGATTTCTACTGCAAATTTGTTGCAAAGTGCAACTTTGGTACCTTGCCAAATATATCTCTGTCTCCCTTTTTTTTCAAAGTACAGCCACAGATACATTTTCATAATTAATGACCGTTCCCATTGATGATTTAATGCATAGTGGCCATTAAGTATTAATATAATAAATAATATTGTGATAGATAAATAGCTATTGATAACCACGAGAGGAACATCTATACGAAGCAACAGTGAGATTACGCAGCTACAAATTACACAACCATAATCGTTTTAAAGAGAATCTTGGCAGAACTTGTATCTGACAAGCACCATTAATGATGTAAGGGGCCAGTGGACCAATAGCCTGACTAAAAATCGCGCTTCTATAGCGGTCGACGTCGGCCATTCCGACAGTTACCGCCCCCAAAACTGTCAAATTAGTAACGCCAGTAGCGAGAGATTGTGGCTATAGGCTAGTGGACCGATACTTCAATATATAACACAATGCGTGAGCAAAATGTACACTAGGATTTCCCCGCCCCAAACCTTTTATTTTGTTGCGGCCCAAAACTACTGATACAATATCCAGATGAACTATTCCCCAAAGACATAAAGTATTGAATAATATATCACACAATATAACAACTGTCTCTCCGACACTAATATATGACTATCATCTAGTTCTTCTTTTGGTCTCCAAGCTTAGCTGAATATGCGGAAGTAAAACCTTCGTAAAGCACCTCTTACATTCTGTGGTGCACAGCGTCATGTAAGTTGTAACATGCAGCCGATGCACTACCTATATAGTATAGGGTATGAGGTCTCCCTAATCTTCCTGGTCTTTTCCCTATATAACATTATATAGCCATAGCTTTCGTTACGATCCTAGTTTTATAAGATTCAATAAACATTGTTAACGTTACACAAACTGCAAATATAGCACGCCATGACCAGCACGCACCTGTAACAGTAACCCTACATGTAGAAGAACAAAGGGCAGGTATACAATGCGGAATCGTTTCCTCGCGCCACGCAGTTGATAAAGATCAAACGTTACAAGCAGTTAACTTGAGTAGATTAATAAGCCTCGGAGTCATGGCTCGTAATAGCTAAGAAATGGGATCGAAACTGCGGTCACTAGGATAGGTATACCAAAACTGACCATGTAAACAACACATCAACTGAGGCTGAGTACTAGTAACCTACTTAATACACCAATCCCATCCAAGTCCAAACCTAAACACAGAAACATTCGATCACCTGAATAACACACCTGCGTTGTACACCAGACTATCATAAAGCCACCCAGCCACCGTTTAAGGACCCCGTCACTACAAAAGGAGAGTGGTCCTCAGGTATTTCGTCGGGCCATCCGCCATTTTCTGTTGACCACTGACGTCGACATGGTATGATCGGCGTACGTGGGCTCGTCCGACAAGTTCTTCCGGTTCACTGTTGGGGTAAGGGTGGGCGTGGCACACGATCACTTTGTATCAAACGACCGACAGGTCGAATCGTCGAGTTGGCTTCTGTGCATATCTAATAACATGATTTGAACTCTCCCAAAATACTCTCTATGTATACCGTCCGGCGTTAATTTGACAGCGTTTCTGTGGTATTTACACACATCTATTGAACGTAGCTTCCAGAATATATAAATACCGCCTCAGTAAATGAGGACCAAAAGGAGATCAACTAGTACTTGATGAAGACAAAAAAAGAATTCTCAGTAGAAATGGAGCTTCTCTGGCCGGCTTCATTCTCTGGCCAATCAATACCCTTTTAGGCCGATTTATTCACCCCGCAAAAGAAGTTTGGTGGAGACTAACGTATATACAGGTCATCCAGTGCTTTGCATGAATAACGTTGCATAAAAGGGCCATTAAATATTTAGAGAGGTATGACGACATATTTGGACTTTACAACATCTATGTAAAATTCAAACATGACCATAACATTACAGGCTGAAGACAGATGGACTTAAAAACGGCCAGCAAGACAAAGAGTTTCATCGAATAGAAAAGGGCAGAAAATATCGATTTTGTTCACTGTTTCCCCCTTGGTGCAGTACCACCTGTAGCGCCAGAGGGGGCTTTTTATTTGCATTCCACAGGAGGTCATTACTTATTAACCTTTGACCTACATGAACCTGCCGGAGGGGATTCTCATCTCTACAAGCCATAGATCATGTTTTCATCGCACACGGCGTGACTTTGATGCTCCCGTTTCGCCCATTTGTCACGAATGGCCAGATAAGTAACTCCAGATCACGGTAGACACCCCATAGTGGACATGCCTGCCCGTTTTGTTGCCTCAGAGGCCGCCTAAAAGCGCCTGCCACCGTGCATGTATCATCATCCCCTGGATCAACTGTCAATCATAGCGTCGACCCGGAAAGGACAAGATGTCTCTTAAGGTATTAATTGCACTTTGATCTGTCAGTCTGTAAAGCTTTATTTTTGGTAAAGCCCGCGGTGACCTCATGTAGACGTTCACAGAGACTCCGATGTAGATTCGCTTCATTTTATGGTAGATGATGTCATGATCACAACATGATGTCATATATTAGAGATAAATGTCTTAGCCAGAGGGGGTGCACTAGTCATCAATGTACATGTAGGTTATAGGGAGTTAGTCTAGGGTATACACGGGTCATTTATGTCTGCTTCTTGTCTATATCATAGTAAAATGGGAAGAGGAGTTTGAAAACCTGACAGATACACTCACACTTCCAGTGGAATCTTACTAATTTCTAAAACCGTCGAGACATCCCCAAGCTCCCCCATTTCCTCCCTTACAGTCACACTTAGATATTACCCCCTTAATTGATGGGTGTGTACACAGATAAATACAGAGCAGAACTGTAGCTAAGCCAGCTGCCTGTCTTGTCAGCTTCCTCTGGCTGTCAATACACAGGATATCCTGCCCAGCAGAGTCCTAGAATACTTTCCTGGTAGATTATATATTCTATACAGCATTCAAAGGATGGCCACCAATGTGCAAGTAAGCAGGCTATGTATGAGATTATCCTTGTATGACTGCATTTCTTTATTCTTTTAATTCATTTGACAGTTATCTGGTGTTTATATGTATGGAGCTACTATGAATGAGATCATAAAGCCTAGGGAGGGGGTGGGGGGTTATCTAGAGTTTGGAGGCTGGTGTATTAATTCTGCTGTGTACTTCTAATGTGTTTGGTATATTTGTGGCCCATTTCCTTAGCAGACCGCATCTCCTATTTGGTAAGATTCAATAAATGACCATATTTTTGGCAATGCCCTTTTTGTTTCACCCATACAAGGATGACCAATATGGCAACAGCATGCTGTTTGAGTCTATAAGTTTTTCCATCATGTAAATGTTAGCCTGCCATTTTCCTTGCCTGTCTCTGACGAGCAGTACTTCGTCATCTGTGCAGGCTTTGAACATGTACTATAGCTAGTATTCTAAAATGTCTCTAGCACCGCCCACAAGCCCGAGGCTTCATGGACGATCTAGAAGCTTGTCTCCTAATCCTCGTCAGGGCACCACGTCATCCCCGTCCCTCCCTCAGCTGCTAGCCCCACCCATGAGAACAACAAGCCTGACCCCTAGTCCCAGACTCACTCGCCACTCCTGGTCCCCTGCCCATTCCCCCACCCTGCACCACCATGTCCGCAGCACGTTGAACCTGTTCTATCGTTCCAAGGACTCGCCCAGCGGCCAGCAGCTCCACCTGGCAGCCCTGCAGGGAAACATCGAGCTGCTGAAGCGGACGCTCGACGGTGGGAGGGTTCACATAGACAGTCAGGACAAGGTCAGTTATATCAAAACATCATATATTTCTTGTTGCATTTAGATTTATAAATTTTGATGCATAATTAAATCTTAGTATGTACTATGTTTAACACAGATGGAAAATGTGTCTGTTATATGGCTCTTGTATTAATGATTGACATATCAAAGCAGATTATAATGTAATCATTGTCATGTATCATCATGTAAAATGCTGTAATTAAAGAATACATTCAAGTATACAACAAATATACAACTTGTATATGTCCGTACAAGTATAATGTGCATGATTTTACTTTAATAGGTGCTATTTCTGTGGACATAATCTTTGTTACATGCCATGTTCACTATGTTGCTTAGATGTTCTATTTAGAAATAAAATCCATACAGTTTTATGTAACAACTTGTTTCAAATAAAAAGTAGCAACACTTTATTTATGAGATGTTCCCTGCATGTAATATAGTAATACACAAAGTTATAGAACTGACATATAGAATGTTAGACACAAATACTGCCCAATTTTAGTCTTTCTTGTATAATTACTAGACAAGTACTGCAATTTATGTCCCCTGTATATCTTAGTATCATCAATGTGTACAACTGGTGTTGCTACTGTATGTCAGGTCCTACATACATGGACATGTTTTCAGCTGTGCTCCCATATCAGTTCCTTCTAGTACTATCGATAGAGTACTTAGCCTACAGGCTGGGGTCTCTTCTTTCATTTACACACTAGGAACTACTACCGGCAGTACTAGTACTGAAGTCTGGAGTAAAATAAACATTCAACCAGAGTTTGTTATAAGCAAGCTGATAAACTGCTGCCTTGTTAGCATAGTAAACAGTAGAGGCCTGACCTGTAAGGCTATTCTGTAAGCTACATCAGTGACATGTTGAGAATGGTATGTGAGCATCAAGATCATATAGCTTTGGCAATGTGCAGAGATTGTATCAGTTTTTTCAGTGTAATAGTGAGATAAGATAGACTTGCTGACTGTGCTATTGTGGGGTCGTGTGGCGCAATCGGTAGCGCGTTCGGCTCACACTCCAGAGGTCGTGGGTTCGAACCCCACCTTGTCACCGATCTTGTGCCCTTGGGAAAGGCACTTTACACGACTTTCCTCACTTCACTCAGGTGGAAATGAGTACCTAGCTTCGGCTAGGGACGTCCCTCGGATAGGACGTTAAATGGAGGTCCCGTGTTTGGGGAGAGCCACACCCCACGCACGTTAAAGATCCCACCACACCTTTCGAAAAAGAGTAGGGGCATGCCCCGGTGTGCGATGGTACAAACACTACTGCATGGAGTTGGTGATTCACTTCAAATCACCCGAATGGAGGCCTGGCGAACCTCTGTTCCGTATCAGCCACATGGTGATTACATCACCACACATGGTGATTACATCATCACCCGGACGGAGGCGTGGCGAACCCCGTCTTGTATTAAGCTAACGAAAGGGTATGCCACCTCGTAAGGGGCGGTATAACCCCGACCGAATACAGTCGACCGATGATGATGATGCTGACTGTGCTAAAAATATTGACACAGATATTCCACACAGAAATCATCAATGCTGATCCAAACCAACCTGCATTATATTTTTGCTCACTTTAAAGGAAATGACAAGTAAATGAAAGGTTCAATACTAGTAGCTAGTAAGTAGTACAATGTAGTACTATTTATTTTTTTACCCCTCAGTCAATTAAGTTCTCACACAATATGGTCTTTGAATTTATCACTTAGCTGAATGTTGAATGATGTTTACAATGTATTTGGCTGCAAAACAAGACTCAATATAGTATACATTGCTGGTACATGATACAAATGTAGTTAACATATTAGTTTTTTATTACATATATTTCAAAAATTAAAAATTTACAGATTTTAAAACACTATGACATTTTCCAGATTCAGTAGTTGTTAAATACTGTAACAGTGTTGTTCACAGAATCAGTCATCACTAGCTGTCCCTCTGGTGCTATGGCAATGGCCTGTGGACCCTGCATGTCTGTGGTGATATGGTGAAGGAATATACCTGTCTCGTCAAATAGCTCTACACGTCCATTCCAACTGTCTGCCACAATGATGTTACCCAACCAATCTGTACAGATGCCCATTGGTCCCTTCAGCAGCCCTTCACCTCTTCCCCTCTTCCCAAACTTGAACAGAAACTGTCCGTCTCCACTGTATACACAGACACAGTTATCCTCAAAATCAGACACAAATATGTTCCCCGTTGAGTGGCAGTCTACAGTGATGTACTGT